CTGTTTGATGACAGATGATGACAAGAAAACCACATGTTCCTGAAGCAACGACCGCGAGTTTTATAATATCTAGCAAAGATGTATAGGGTTTTCTATTGAAAATTGGGGAACCGTTTCCCATTTATCTGCACAAATAATTCAGACTAAAACAATATCTCCATTTTTACTTTTGCTAGGAAAATCATGGCTACTGCCGATTTGCAGAAAAATACACAGACTTAGCAGACATAGGTGTAAGGGAAGAATTACCAGTACGTACTGTAAGTAGATTTTTATTTTGTATACTATCCAAATAATTCTGGTTTATTGTGTTTCACATACTAGTATACGAAGAATCCAGAAATTGTAAATCCACTTGTACTGACTAGGATGTGTCCATTTTGGCATCGTGGGATTGTATGACTCTTTGTTTTATATTCCTGGTATAAAAGAGAAATGAAAGGAAATCGGGTTTAACGTCCTACTGTTCTGCTCCGAACTGGTCTAATGAAGACGGGCATACGCCATACAGTGTGCTATGAGGGAAAGTTTGCCCAGATAGCGGCGCTACAGCCAACTCTTATATCCAAAAGATCTTTTACGTGTACGCCAATGTGTATGCACGAGATCTTTCTCGACCAATGCAAGGATTCAACACGGGGACTCCAGGTTAGCGAACCAACGTCTTACTCACTAAGCCACTATGGCTCCGGTATAAAAGAGATATTCGGTAAAGCTAGTGGTTCATTGGACGGGGTATATGTAAAGGGATGTATACCCTAAACTTCAAAAGATGTCGGAGCCGTAGTATCTCATTGAGTATAAGACTGGCTCACTAGCTAGCCAAAAGGTCCCGGATTCAATCCCCGTATTGGCCGAGACAGGTATTTGGAATAGTCTATTCCCTTGTTAAGGAACGTGAAGAAAAGGCGTCTAGTAGTTCCGACGGTAAAAAAAAAGTCTGAGGTTTTACGTTGGTGTGCACGTAAAAGAACCTCTGAACGTTGGAATCCGATATAGAGTCGACAGAAACGCCGCTCTCCGGTTAAATTTACCTCTTGAAACACTTGGTGTCGTACGCCCGTCTTCATTATTCCGGCTGGTGCAGAAAAGTAGGACGTTAAACCCCATTTCATTTCAAAAGAATTCAATGTGTTTGTCTGTACTGTCCGAGAACACTGTATAATTTGAACCGTAATCTATAAACAAAACAAAAAAAATATATTTCTGTACTCCGGTATGTGTATACCATTACCATATCTTTCAAGAAATAAGTGGCTCATTAGTAAGGCGCCGACTATCTATATAAGACCAAGAAAATTCTTTGAGATTTTCCAGTGTGTGTCCTGTAGTCAGTGTTGCAGTGTGGGGGGCCTAGCAAGGAACAGTGTCTAGTCGTTCGGATCGTTCGTTCGTTTCTGAAGTTTTACGTCCACTTCCACCTGGGATGATATCGCAGACAAGTGCTTGGTCCAGCTTTTTTGGGTAAGACACAATGTCTTTGCGGGGAAGCGTTCAAGGTGAAATTCATCCAAAGGAGAAAGCTCCCGGTGTTAGAAATAAAAATGTCTGGCGCGCTCAGTCTGGCCCGCTTTGCCATACGTGTTACGATCTAATATAAGGCAGGTAGATTAGGTCTGACCGGGCTAAGCGTTGTCGTGCCGTTAGCCTTACGAACAAAATAAAAACGATCCCCACTGGGCACCCGACATCCCTGCGCGTAGGGACGTCCGACTAGCAGGAGCCCTCTGGATGATTACTTATGGATCCCGTCCGTTGGGTCTTGAGGTGTGTCGTTCGGATAGGGTGTGTACGTTAAAGAACCCTTGGCAATTGGAATTCGATGAAGATGTATGACACATGCCTGTCTTGATTAGTCCGGTTGGTACAATAAAGTAGGACGGTAAATTTTCATTTCTTTTCAAAATATACAGATTCATAACTAGCGTCTTTATTTTAGAGTTCATCCCAGCTCTGTGACGATTTGAAGTTTTACTATGCCTGGATGTTATGGATTAAGGAGGCTAAGCAGTTCATGGATACGGTGGAAGTCCCGTCGTTTAGCGTACCTGAATTTGATGATATGGTGAACTTTTTGCGCCAAGCTGTTTGCGAGTGTCCCCCTGGTGCATCGACACCACTGTTTCCCAACAGTACGTCATCAACCGATCCTGTCGATTATCTCGAACCCACGTGTTACGTTCTTGAAAAGTTTTCTCAATTTTCTACAAGTGCCTATGTATGTATAAGAAAGGGTCGGAAGGGAGATTCGAAACAAAAAACGACAATTGATAAACCAGACAATTCCGCATCAGTTGAAAGCCCACCCACAGGAACAGCCAATGGGAAAAGCGTAAAACGAGTGAATGGAAATAAAGGGAGGGGTCAAGGTCGAAAGAGAAACAAAAGAAAGAAGAATAGGAAAGTTGACCCAAACACCCCAGAGTCAACCAGGACAGATATTTCGAAAAGGCTACCCAAAGAATCAAATCCCGGAGAAGATATACATGTACATAGAGGAGAGGGAGAGAAACGGAGGGGTCATGGTCGAAAGAGAAACAGAAGAAAGAAGAATAAACCAGCCAGAAACTTAAGCCTTGACATCAACAACAATCCCATAGAAACCACAGAGTCAAAACAAATCATTAAGTCTGACAATACAGCACCCTGCGTAACCAAACCAGAAACTACGAAAGCAGAACGTCGTCAACGTAAGAAAGACGATGAAAATAGAAGAAATGATCAAAGGAGAAAGCGGAGAAGGAGAAAGAACAGGAAGGATAAACGGAATAAAAGGAAAAGAAAAAACAGGAGGAATAAACAGAGGAAGAATAAAAACAAGAATAGGGATCGGAGAAATAAAATAAAAAAAGATAGCAAGGAGGCGGAGAGACGGCTTTTTTTAGAAAGGAAGAGAAAAGAATCCAAATCGAGAATCGATTTTTTTTTCTTTTAAAACTTGTTTTCGTGACTCTTGTTTCATATAAAGTTGAAACCGGTTTCAGTATATGCTATGCATTATCGTCTATTAAATCATTTTTATCACGATATATTAATTTGATAGTGATATGATATCACTTCCTTTGAATTGTTTTGATGTGATAAAAATATTAAAGTAAATGCTATGCATAAATAATTTTAATTATAGCACTTTTTAAATTATATTTTTAAATGTCATTACGTATTATACGCACACATGTATATTGTCATCACCCCCTCACCGTCTCTCTGTCCGTCGGTACGCTAAACATCGTGACATTCAAGTGTAGATTACAGATTTATTTTTACTGGGAGAGCTAGTCAATGAAACACTCCTATCGAACTTGATACTCCAGCATCGATTTTTCGTAGTCAGTTACTGGCCTTTACAACTAAATGCCATAAAGAGACGTTCAGATTAGAGTTTTGGGCATCTGTTTTGACAAACTTGTAGGTATTGTTCGAGTTGTCTTTATATAAAAAATTTGAAATACTATTTGTTATCGGCGTCGAAACATTGTATGTTTATAAAAGCGTAACTGTTATTCCATAAATATTTTTAGTATGTTACTATTTGGCATATTTAGGACGGGATGAACGTACCCTTTCTGAAACACCGGATATTATGTTTCGCTGTATTTAATATTTATCTATTCAAAGCGTGACTGTCTTTATGATGAATTACCAACATATCGGTGGGCTTATCTCTTTCGTTTGCTGTCAACGGAAACTTATCTTTTTATATGTTAAGCACAAAATATATCAACAAATATTCCTTCCACATGAAGAAAGACAGCAAGTCACCCAAACATACATTTATATTATAGACATTTGAGAGCTAAGTAGTACATGTATAATTTATGTTGTAATTAAAAAGAAGATTAGAACAAGTTTGGACAGATGATCCCACGATGTCGATAAAAACGGGTAGAAATTAAAACATGAAAAACAAAATGATCGAGAATAATATGTTAAAATTACTGGATAATCGAATATTACTTATACCGTTGTATCTGTTGTCTCGGACACAATTACTCTGGGTTTAAAATGATACCTTGTTTTATACAGTTTTAAGTAATACGCTACCTGTATTGTGTTATTGTCCCTATAGGTGAATCGCGTTATCTCACACCTTAAAACTTCAGAATTCGTTTTTGAAGCCCCAAACCCTTGGGGATGAAAAATTACTGCAAAAGAACACATATGGTCGAGTTAACCAACCCAATAATTTTTTTTAATTTATATAAGGAATTCCATGGAACTGAACCAGCATATTTTCAGGTCAAGATAGCGAGATTCCACGGTATTGTTTGGTCTTGTGACCACCTTATAAATGTTTCATGTTTGTCTTTATTGCAACATATTTTAAGCTATCTGTAGAAGACATTAATTTTAAACATTTCCTGTAGTTTTTTTCATTTATTGTGTTAATTTTGTTTACTCTGCTACATTTAGTTTTATTTTCTTAAAAAAGAATTAAATTATTTATTTCATTTTTTAATAAAGCAATTTTTAAAATATATGAATGTATTATTCAATAAACTAAAACTTTAACTGTGTGGTATTGCTCAATTTGGGGAATATATTAATTCAATACTCCTCACAGTGATTCGTTTGATAAATCGACAGTCTTGTGGAGTCGTTTCATATAAAAAAGAAATTTTGCAGGATTTCGGTGAAGCTGTATATTTCCAGCTATAACTGTTTTTTGTTAGTGTGAACGTGTGTTGTTTAAAGAAACTACGAGAAAGGGGTGTTTTGTTTGGTGTGATGTATTGGAAGGAGGGGTATACTCTTTTACTCTATACAGTTGTTTGGAGACTTGACAATACTATGTCCCTTACCGTGGATCACAACCCTGATTCACAATTATCTTTTGGCCATTGCGATGATGTAAGTCGTTAAAACCTCAAAATGCCCAATGTGTCACCATCATCTGATACAAAAACTGAACGGGGCGGGGTGGTGGTGGAGGTAGTGGGGGGCTTATATAGTAAGACTAGTAATTATTCCCCCTGATTTTGTGATAAACAAGTACTTACGTTCGCCTGTGTTCCCGCAGTCTCAAATAATTGGTGGTCCTTATCCTGGTCAATTAACAAGTGTTATTTCCCTTTATATAACTATTCGTTATGTAGTCAACTTACGAGCAAACAAAAGCTATTAGCTATATTTGTCTGTAGCAATATTTATTGCTCAATATGGACGTCAACAGCTGTTATGTAACTATAAATAAACTAAATCAGACAGCTGGATCCTCAATCATGGTTGGATATTTTTTTTCCATGCACGTATAGGCCTGTTTATTGGATTGTAAATGCGGTGTTGCGTTGACAATAAATTGTGCACGTTATTAGTGTCAAGGTGACCTCTTCTTTATGATAAGATAGGCTATACATCACGTAGGTGTATAATATTGTGCTGCACTTTTATATGAAATTAATATTCGATTACGGGTCTCTGCACACCAGTAAGTGACAAGAAAATAGGGTAACACCCCAGACAGCGACATTAACCCTCTAACCTCAAACATGTATGGGTCTGTTTTTGACGTTGTAGGATTTTTAATTGATTTGCAATTTGTAGTCAAGCTTATTTTATTGGCGGTTTAAGAATTAATATTAGTTTTACGAATAAGTATTTAACATGAGGACTATCGATAATGCTAATATATGAGGTGGTATATGCTCACTTTTTATAGAACGAATGAATAAAATGTTGTTTAATGGCACGTCAACTCCAACATAGTTATAGTGCGCCCACTGACTCAGCTATGTAGTAGTAGTAGCAGTAGCATATTCCTGAAGCAATTTGCTTCCATTATAGCAGTGTTAAGTATGATTAGGTCTAATTAAACGAAACACTGCGAGGAGTATGTAGTAGTAGTAGTAGTAGTACTAGTAATAGTTGTACGGATTGTAGTGGTTCGGATGAGACGACAACCCGAGTTCCCTTGTGCATATTAATTGTGGGCATTTAAAAGAACTCTTGGCCGTTGTAATTCGACGAAGAGTAGCATACCTGTCTTAATAAGCCCGGTTCCGTGCAAGTGGCGGATTATCATGGCGTACCTGCGCCAGAGCCCCAAGGTTTATGGGCCCCTTAGAGTGTTGAATAAACAAAATTTATTTTAATAACTATTTAAATATGAACGGTGATCGAGTAAAAAAGAATTTCAACTAGACACGTAATAAACTAATTTACTGAACAACAATTTGATATTTGAAATACATAGCTAAACATTGGGCATACAGTGATTTGAGGGAAGCGGGGCTGGGCAAGCCCCCCCCCCCCCAAACACACACACCCTTCCCACCCCCATGCGTCTTAATCCGAAACTAGTTCGGGAAAAACAGTGGGACGTTAAACGTCATTCCCCTTTCATTGCATTTCAGTGTTTAGGCCCTTGGATTCATTGGAAATTGGAATGCTACTGGGACCCGAATTAATTTTTAATAAAACTACCTTCGTTTGTGTATCCCCTGAATTCTATATTTTACTTTTGTTCTTGCATCTTGGGTATCTGGGGCTTTATTTGTTTTGGGCAAACAGATAAAAGCGAGCGTGAAGCATACGAAAATATTAGAAACGTCGCTTATAAAAGATGCAATAAAATGTTTTCTTCTAGCAACCTTCACCAACTGTTACAATGGTAAATACGGACAGGACAAAGGACTCTCTGTGTTGAATATGGTTTGACGTAACTTGCATATAGTCTTAAATCGAAATATTTATGATCAATGGCACTTTATGATATCAATAAAAACACAATTGAGCAAGGGCGTGTATTAAACGAAGACCAAAGGTCTCTGTACTATATTTCTCACACACCTTAAAGATGTTGCTTATTCATCATCACTGTCCCCCTCGCTCTATGTGCTCACAAAAATATGTTGGGGAGAGGGGGGGGGGTAACGTCCACTCGACACAAACTAAGTCATTTCGGGTCTGTAAAGACATTAATAACGTATAAATAACAACTTTATGTATCATTAGTCTATGTTCACAAGAAATATATTTTTTAAAATATTGACATATACTTAAAGGGACAATAACACTCTTGCTGGCTTGACAGCTCCAGAAAATAAAAAAATAGCCTTATTCTAAGTACTAGATGTGTTAGTGCCCTACCTGTTGTGTAAATTATCCATTAAATCCTATTTTACTTGTCCAGAGGGTTCAAAGATATTTTTAAATCCAAGTCACATTCGAAAAGCTTTACGTCAGGCTTTTCAAATCATTAAGTTGAATTTTTCCAATTTTTTAAATTAGGTGTGTTAAGATGAAATATGTATCATCAATTAATTGGAATATTGTAAAATAGTACAATTTGTTGACCAGAATAAAGATTGGGACATATTATTCAGTTACAACAAGAGTGGTATTGAGCCTTTAATGAACTTAAAACGATAAGTAGAAAGAGGGGTCCAATAGGTTTGCTATTATTTGGTTGGTAAAGACGACGATAAGTTGCATCTTACTTTAATAAATTCACTGATTGTGTATCCATAAAATTGTGTTCATATTTCAATTACCACATGACTATCAATGAAGTTATAATTAAACTTCAAGTGCTGGATATAGTTTCATGTTATCAGTAATTTAAAACAAGAATAGACTAGAATTTTACACACATTTGATTGGTACAGAAGAACACGGGCCATAACACCGATAGCTCTTATTTATCTAATGCACTAAAGAAAATATATATTCGTGTTTATGTACATGGTAATATTTCAGAATAAGATAAAGAATCTTGATTTAACACGTCAATCTATTTTGCCAGCAATCTTTTCTGTTGGCCGCGATTATACTCAACACGGAAAGGGTTCGCCTACTTAACCTCCCGGTTCTTCTGTACCTCAGCCCCGCCCCACAGCTATAAAAAGCCCTTATTCCATAGAAATATAGCTATGTGTTAACCTCAAATTGACCTCGTAGTCGAGGGGTTAGGACACTGGACTTTTAACCAGAGTTCCTCAGTTCCCGCTAATCACCCACAAGAAAATCGTAGAAGTCATTCGGAAAGGACCAAAAAAACAATGTCCACTCGTGTACACGTAAAATAATCCGTCAAGGTGAATGGCTATTGCGGTTTTTTATTTTGTTTTTAAATGTTATATAACTATTATTTATAGACATTTAGTCGCATGTCAAACATATACTCAATTCTGTAGACTATTGGATGACCGAGATTCAAATGGATTTAAAAAAATTTAACGATCAAATGGATAGTTGAGACGATAATATTGTCAAACCTTCAAACACTCATATCATCACTCAGAATAAAGTAATTTGAATGAAATTTTCAATATATTCATTCATTTTTCGTTGTCGATTTTTGAACTATTATTTTTTATCTAAATATTACATAATGTACCTTTAAGAGCCCGAATTGGAACAATAGTAGGCGCCAGGCGGAAGGCTTGGTTTTAAAAACACTTCCTGCGAACTTGGAAAAAAAGGGTCCCATCACTGACAATGTCGGGCACAAATCAAGACTTTGACAGAGAAAATCTCTCCGGTGACTTACATTATGTCCGAAGCAGATTTGTCTTCTTTATGTGTTTCAAGAATTGCCAGTTTGTATATGACTTAGTTGTCAAGAATGAATTTTACACCAACCGTAGAAGGAAAATGCTCACCCTTCGTAATGGGCATTTTGACTACGGGAGTAAATAGCCCCGAGTTAGTCCCAATATGACCATAATATTGTGTTGTCTAGACATAATGTCCTTATTCCGTTGCTATGATTATCACAATATAACTACACATATCGTGACTTAGATTAAAACATTAATATTAAATGTAATGTCCAGGTCACAGACGTACAGTTTATCAGATTTTCACCTTGGTTTCTAAGGATATAGCATGTTTATCACGTTTAACGTCAGTCTAAAATATCTACGATATAAAACTATTTTAATTATTAAAGATATGAACGGGATTTCAGTACTTTTACCAATCAACGCAGTATGTCATCAGTTGATGTTCAAATATTGCCAAGGTACAATCAGGTGTCCTAGATCTGTTTCTCCTGTACTAGTTATACAAATATACATCATACATGTATTCAAATATACAAAAATTTAAATGAATTGGCGTTTTATGTCTTACCTTTCTGCACGAACTGGGCTGGTGAAGATGGCCATACGCCATACAGTATGCTATTGCGTGCTGGGGGGGGGGGGGGTAATTTTGCCCCAACATCTGCAGTGTTCTAAGAGGGAAATTATGCCCCCACATGGTCACTGCGGTCTACTCCTTGGATGGGACGAAAAATAGAGGCAAAATTCTCCTGTCTCATATTACAGACATAGGCTAACCACGAACACAAAAAATACCATATTTGGAGACATTAAACCACTTCATATTCTTAATTTCTAATCATTAGAAGATTATAATTTAAACAAGGATAGAAACTATTTTTAAAAGATAATGGGTCTTTTTGCACGATTGTTGTACGTGTGGGTCTAATTTCAGCTGCCAGTCTTTGCTTGCGTAGGTGTTAGTTAAAGTGTTGTACAAACGGCGTAAAAATAGACGATATAAGCTCCACCTAAAGAAAGAATGCCCTTTGTTAGTACACAAAATGACTCAAAATGGTTGGGTCATCGAATGCAATAATTGTACGTCAATAGGAAATTAATTTGTCTGTAAAATGTCAGTACTTGCCGAGTGTAGTGTTTAGTAGAACAGTGTATATAATAGGCTACATCAAAGTTAATAGTTAACTCTACCTACTTTATAGATAGGTCTAAACATTACATTAAAGCCACTGATTGTCATAATATACATTTTTCTGATAATATCTGATTCATAGCTTAACCTACGCTGAAATACACTCAAATTGATTATTTAAACAGGCATTATTATGCAAGAGATAAATCTGCCTATTGCAGGTCTTTATTTAGGCCTGAAATGTTATCTGAATTATTAATTAGACATTAATTAACTTATCCAGACCCTAATCAACCTTCGATGTCATCAATAGCCTGCGATGTTTATTGGATTAGGTTCCGATTTGCTGTCCGACTTCCATTCATGATTTAATCATGAAATGGATAATCGAGACTATGTTTTTATCGTACCGGCTTTAGTAATGATGATCGAGGCTAGGCCAAAAATTCAATCGCTAAAATCTCGATTCAGAGTGGATCAATTTGACTGAAATCTAGTTTTTAACTATTATAGGAGAACTGCCAGCTCTTTATCTAATCTCCTATAATGTATCTTTAACATTTAATTAAGAAACAAAACCATAATGTCAACG